TACCTCAAGAAACAAGAAAAGCACTAATAAACTACCTAAATAAGCCTATAATAAATGATGAAATTGAAGCAGTCATTTAAAAACTCCCAGTAAACAAAGTCCTCAACTGGATGATTGTACAGGAGAATTTTAGCAAACATTCAAAGAAGAACTAACACTTGTTCTCCTCAAACTATTCCAAAAAACTCAAGAGGAAGGAACACTTCCAAGTTCTTTTTTATGAGGCCAGCATTATCCTAATTCCAAAACCAGATAAAGACAATACAAAGAAAGAAAATAATAGGCGAATATCTGTGATGAACAGAGATACTAAAATCTTCAACAAAATATTAGCAAATCAGAACCAGCAATACACTGAGTGGCCAGATTATTATGACCACCTGATGTTTGTAGGCAAATTAGCTATAATTTTGCACTGAAGTTGCTAGAGGGCCAGACCATTATAAATAGGGAACGAGGTTGTTTACCACGACAGTAGAAGTGATTTTTTTTCTGAAGATATGGGTAAATAATGCGATTTAACAGCCTTTGAATGTGGGATATATTCCGTAACACAAGATGGCTGCACCCTCAGTGGAAGCCAAGTTCCCCTAACGACCCTTAATGAGCAATCAGCAGGGACCTGAGGCTGCATGGTGCTGGGCCGGGACAGGGGACCTGATGCTGCGCCCCCCTCCCCCCCCGCGGTGGGGCTTGACAGGGGACGTCAGGCCGCACCCCCTGCCCAGGCACCAGGCTGGGGGAACCTCAGGCTGCGCCCCCCTCCTGGCAGGGCTTCACGGGAGACCTCAGGCCGTGCCCCCTGCCTGTGGGGCTTGACGGGGAACCTCAAGGTGCACCCCCATGCCCCGGCCTGGGCCAGGGGACCCCTGGGCCACGCGCCCCACCCTGGGGGACTTGAAGCTGCGCCCCCCGCCTGGCGGCGCTTGACGGGGGACCTCAGGCCATGCCCCCCACCCAGCACCAGGCCGGGCGACCTGAGGCTGCGCCTCCCACCCAGAGGGTCTTGACAGGGGTGGGGTCGGCTGGGTCTGGATCTAGTCCAATGGGGGTGGGCCTGGCCGGGTCTGGGTCTCACGTGATTGAGGTGCACGTGGGTGGGTGGGGACTTGACTCTGGT